AGAGGAGCAGCCAGAGAAGAGGAGTGGACGCCCCTGCAGCAGAAGCCCACTTTCTGATCCTGAGCAGAGCTTGCCTCCAGCCCTCCACCTGACTTTGTCTCTTCGGAAAAAGGCATCTTGGGTACCAGGATAACACCTGCACTTGGCACAGAGGGTCCTCTGTGGTTCTTAAAAGGAGGGAGATGTGTGGAATTAAACTTTCTCCTTATCTTTCCTGTCTGATGCCTTTAAAATACACACACACACACACACACACACACACACACACACACACACACACACACACACACATATATATATATGTATACGCACACACACACACTGGGAATTGAACCCAGAACTTCGTGCATGCTAGGTGAGCACTCTGCCCACTAAGCTGTATGTCTGCCCCCTGGTGCCCTTTGTTTTCCACCATTAACTAGGCTTTCCACTGAGCTCCACTGACTGAGTAATTCCTGCCCAACCCTACCCCCGCCTTCCCTCTCAGATTTATGCTCCAAAACGTTTTCTGCTGCAAACCCCTCATCTCTTTGTGATTGGATCTCCGCCTCAAAAGCCCGGTATAGAAAGTTCCAGCTCCATTACCCACAGGAATAGGCTTTGCTCCTCCCCAAACCAAGGAAGAATGGTGAACCCAGGTACCCCAGTGGCTGAGAGCAGTGCCTAAAAGGAACAAGCCTTCATTTCCCCTTCCCTGTTCTGCCATTCCCAGGCATGAGCTGCGACTACCATGACCACTCCCTTTAGGCCACCCAGCAATTTCTTCACAGCTTCCCACTTCCGCCCCCCCCCCCCCCCCCCCCCCCCCGCCTCTTTCTCTGGTGCCCCCCGGCTTTCTTCTCTCCTTCCAGCTCCTGGAACTGGAAATAGGGTGGCAAGCCTCAGGTCCCAGCCCCAGCTCAGCAGGGTCCAGGCCCAGCGCCCCCAAACCAGGGAAAGGAGAGGGAAGGCTGCTGTCCATGAGAGCCATCCAGGCCATCTGTGAAACCTTCCTTTTCTCAGCCATAAGCCTGTCCAGGAACTATCACCAAACCCCAAACCAGTCAGGCGAACTCTGGGGCAAGTTTTATTGACTGTCACACAGAAAGGTCACCCTGTCTCTGGTTGGCCTTACCCTTAAGCCGTGGCAGCCTGATTACATTGAACACTTCAAAGCCCACTGCTTGTAATGGTCAGCCCTGGAACCAGAATGAAGAATCTGCTTCTGTTTGAACAGTAGTAGACAAACTTGAAAAACTGCTGTCCCATCTAACCCCGCCCCTTCCTGTCTGATTGACAAGCAGTGCTGGGGGGAGGGTGCAGAGGGCATTAAAAACCAATCACTAGCCCGGCTTCTTACTATAGACTAAAGGATTGCTCTCCATCTGAACTTCCCTTCTCTTTCCTGTCTCACCTCATTTGGCTTCTTATCCCCTCTTATGAGATAGGCTAGGGAACATCCAGCAGCCACCAGGTAAGTGACTGAGTCCAGTTTCATGCATGTTTATCCAAAGGTTCAAGTGGTCATAGTCAACAAAGATAGTCAGAAAAGTCTTAGACCAGTGGTTCTCAACTGTCCTAATGCTGCCACCCTTTAATACAGTCCCTCATGTTGTGGTGACCGCCCCCCCCCCCCCACCGCCCCCAGCCATAACATTGTTTCGTTGCTACTGTGTAGCTGTAATTTTGCTACTGTTATGAACTGTACTGTAAATATCTGATATTCAGGATGTCTGACATGTGACTCCTGTAGGGGTTGAGACCAGTGGACTGAGAACCACTGTCTTAGAGAAAGGTGGTACTGCTAACATGTGGGAGATGCTCTCACCCAGCCTCCCTCCAGTCCACGGTCCTTGTGCCTGGCACAATCGGGTGCGCACGTGCACACGCACACACACACACCCCTACATGGTTACTAAAAAGTTAAATTTTAAAAACCAAAGGATGTGGTTCAGTAGTGTGGCATTTCCTAGCATGTGTGAGGTCCAGTACCATAAAAAAATACAGCAAACAGAAATACGACAGAGGAGAGGCGGCTCGGTGATTCGGAGAGCTTGCTGCTCTTACAGAAGACTCAAGTTTGGTTCCCAGCATCCACATCAGGGGCTCACAACTGACTGGACTTCCAGTTCCAAGGGATCTGACACTCTCTTCTGGCCTCTGTAGTCACCCACATTTGTACACACACGAGAGAGACAGAGTTTTAAAAGAGAGAGAAATGGATACAGAATAAACATTCAGTTGTGTTCTATCCTCCATTGACTTTTTTTTTTTTTTTTTTTTTTTTTTTTTTTTTTTTTTTTTGGTTTTTCGAGACAGGGTTTCTCTGTGTAGCTTTGCGCCTTTCCTGGAACTCACTTGGTAGTCCAGGCTGGCCTCGAACTCACAGAGATCCGCCTGCCTCTGCCTCCCGAGTGCTGGGATTAAAGGCGTGCGCCACCACCGCCCGGCCCTCCATTGACTTTTCTAAGCTCCCAAACTACACACTTAGACACATGCATACTCAGGGCTCAAGATGTATTTGAATTCTCTACAGCCGTCAATGGACCCTTTGTCTACTCAGGTGTGCTCCTGGAGGTGGGGACCTCTGAGCCACTTACATGAGTGCATTTTAGAGACCTGTCTGTCTTTCTCAGCAGACATGAGTGTTCCCTATACTACAAACAATGAAAGTGCAACAGTCTAAACTATCTTGGCAAACGAGAACTTGAGACTCTGCCTTAATCGATGGCTCTTGGTAGGTGCTGTGCTTCTATAGGACCTGGGGGAAAGTGGAAAGTATGGGTCTAGCAGAAAACGTCTTTCATCTCCTTCAGGAGTCCATCCACAGAAAATGTGGGCATCTCCAAGAAACACATCCAACTGGAGTATAGGAAGAAGTGTAGGTGCTGGTTAAGAGCCAAGTAACTAGGGGTAGAGAGCAGATGAATTCCTGAAAGTCATTTTTAGGGTCCAGAAGATACCAAATCTCTTTAGGAGTCACAGCAGGGATATAGATTCAGGAAAGTTACCCCCAAAGAATGAAGCCCTGGTAGAGACAATATGGAACAATAGTCTTATAGTCAGATGACTTGAATTTGGGCTTGACTTTGCTATTGCCCAACTGTGAGATTTCTAGCGATTGCCCATCTGTTTCGGGTCTCCACCCCTTCACATAGCCCTCTAATCTCAGGAGATTATATAAAAACATTACAACCTGTAAGCCTCATAAAAATGAGTGCCAGCCCAAGTAATTAAAAAAGAAAAACAATTAAAAACTGTGCAACCGCCATTCATGACCATAGGGAGTTTCAATGCCCAAACAGCCAGCACTCATATAGTTCTTAGCAACCATGCTATGGTAGGCATATCTACCTTTAACATTCAAAATGTGCGATGCTATGGCACTGACTGTGACCAGATACATATGCAGGAATTGGGAGCTTGGCTCCTTTGAAACCAGCTGGGGAGGGGTAGGTATTAGCAAGTAGGTACTCCAGGGCTCCAGCCCCTCAATGGGCCTTGGACCACTTGCACAAGCCAAATGGCACAAGGGTAGCATGAAGGCCCCAAAAGATTACCTTCACCTCAAGAAATTTTGTAACAAGTCATTGTACATTTTCCTGGTTGAAAGAATTAGCTGAAGAAAAGTCAAAGGCACATTTCAGTGGTTCCCCCAACATTTTGTTAACGCAGATGCCTGTGACTAGCAACAAAAGGCAGGGAGTTTCTATATGGCATTCATTATATTCTGCTTCCGTTAGGAGTCTGAGTCTCAAATCCCCTACCACGCCCTTCTTTTCTGTTACCCTCCCCAATCACTCACTTTCAGAGGAAATAGGACCAATACCAAAGTCTGAGTAAAGAAGGGAAGTTGGAGGGACTTTCTCACTAGCCTACGCCACTACCCAATCTCCCAAGAACACAACTCCCTTTATAAGGTTTGGCACAAAAAACAGGAAAACCATGAGTATGATTTTGTTAAACAGAGAAAAAAATACTTCTGCTTCCTGTGTAGAGTTATTGATAAACCAGACTAGCCCTAAGCAAACCTGCCAAGCCTATTAAAAAATAACAACCTTTCAAATCCTTCTTCCTCATTTGGTGGTGTTCACGCCAAATCCTCCAATTCTTCTTCCTATTTGGCAGAAATAGATATTTACACTTACTAACCAGGTTTAGTGGAGATGGAATCACATAATGGAGATGGATTGAAAGGCCTTGGGATGCAGCCACACAATACTTAAGAACATCTGTGTTACTTGTGCATTCATCTACCTAAGCAACTGAAATATTCTTAGTACTCTTCTGACACAGAAACAGAATGGCTTCCACTACCTTTCTTCCATTTCACCTTTGCCCTGCTCCTCAGGCAGCTCAGCGGTGCTGGGGCCTTCTCTCTCACATCTCTATAATTCTCTGTCAGTACTGCAACCCCAATGGTATTCCAGATGACAGACCCTGTCCCCTCAATGGCCTCCTGCACCCTGCCTGAGCACTAGCCAGACAGGTGTGCACTCAAAGCTCCGCAGTTCCCACTTCTGACTGTGGAAAGGACACACAGAGGAATAAAAACAGTAAGAATTCAGAGAGGCCAGGGAAGAAGACTGAGACGTGACTTGAGGCAGTTGGCTGTGGGGGCCAGAGGCATAGGAATCCCCTGAAGCTGGCAGCTGTAAGCTACCCCCTCAAGGGAGTGCTGGGAACCAAATTCAAGTCCTCTGCAGGAGCAGCACATACTCCTGAATGCTGAAACATCTCTCCAGTCCACTGTTCAGTTTTTAAGACATTTACAATGAGAGGGGTTGAAATGAATTAACCTCTGGCCTAAATGAACAGTAAAAAACAAGACCAAGCCGGGTGGTGGTGGCTCACGCCTTTAATCCCAGCACTCGGGAGGCAGAGCCAGGCGGATCTCTGTGAGTTCGAGGCCAGCCTGGGCTACCAAGTGAGTCCCAGGAAAGGCGCAAAGCTACACAGAGAAACCCTGTCTCGAAAAACCAAAAAAAAAAAAAAAAAAAAAACAAGACCAAGAGCCGGAAGCTTTTTCATATTTTACTACAGAGGTACTCTATAGATGTATTATCGGTCACTATGTAGCTTATAATCTGCTCATTCATATCCTACACGTACAAAATCATTTTATAAAAATGCTTTAAAAACTAGGAGAGTGTGTGTTCTCTGATAGGTTATTACTAGTGACTGCCTCTGAAGAGACTGGGTACATTCAAGGTCGGGTGGCCGCAGACTGGAAGGTGTGTCTGGTGAGGAAGCATCCGCCACGGAGAATTGGGGGTAGCAGCCAGCACAGCCACTGCTGCCAGTTCACCCCACCCTCTGCCCTCCGCCACCTCTTCATGGTCAAGTTCGTGACATCTGATTCTTGACTTTGCTCCTGTCTTCCGTGGCTTTCTTCTCATCCAGAATCCATCACCTCACAGGGGGCCATGCAGGAGAGATGAGTAACAGAGACACATCTTAGTACCTTCCTATCTTAGACCGAGCAATGCTGGTTCTCTAAGACACGTGGGAATTTGATTCTCCCACTCCTTAATCTCATAATGCATTGCGGAAGTCAATCTTTTGAAGACACAGCTCTTAAGTTGCCTTCACTGCAACCTTTTATCTTTAGTCCTTCAAGTATGTTCGTTACGACATTTCACTACCATGATCAAAACAGCTAAGAAAGCTGTCCTGTTATGATGGTTCTACATTCCACATAACCAAGAGCTCTTGCTGAGAAAACACAAAACGGAAAAATTTGGCCCAATAATCAGCTGGAACGAGTTCTCAAAGTGTACTACTGTGGAAGTCTCTAGGCCAAAATGATTGCAATCAAATCATCAGTTCTCCTGAACACCATCCAAAGATCCAGGTCATGCCCCAGTCCAGAAATCCACTGTGATGTTGATATATAAAGGATTGTGCTCCAGAGAGAGTAATCTGTAAGAACAACTCGATAAACCATCTGTTTTCCAGACTCGTGACATCTGGTGTAACAGCTTCATCCTAAGATAAAAAGAGCAAATGACCATGATGAAAATGAGAACGTGGCATGCAGTTCCACTGCATTTTGTCCTTCTCCAGAGTGTATGTAGCACAAGCAATTTTACAATTCACTATACCTGCCGAGTTTCCCATTCCAAAAAAAAAAAAAAACAACAACGTGTTTTCCTCAGTGACTAGGCATTAATGAATGACAGCTGTGTGTTTGTGGATCAAACCCTACATCAGGCCCTGGACCAAGAGTGGACATTGCCTCCAATGGGCTCCCATCCATAGGGCAGAGGGGTTACAAGAACCACTGATAGAAAGGGGGTGTGCTGCCCACTCGGAATACATCCTTGGCTGAGCATCACGGGATCTCTGATCATCACGAGGATAAACTAAGGGGCACCTTATTTCCTGAAAGACTCTAGGGAGGGACCTCGAGGTGATAGGTTCACAGAAGGTTAAAGATAGGAAATTCAGGAAGTGAAAAAGGAAAGAAAGCAAACACTGCAGGGCAAGAGGCACAGGCAGACAAAGGAACAGGATGCGTTTGAGGAAGGATAGCCCGCCCCTTGTAGCTGGAGGAGCTGAGCAACAGGGGTAGAGAAGTGGGCATTGAGGAGTTCTCTAGGAGCTCAGCCATGACAGTGACAACATGGGTGGAGATCAGAAGCACAGCGTTGAACTACATAACGTCAAAGGAGAAGAAATGCAGTATGATTTCACTAACGCACAGTTGAAGATGTGCAAAACTAATTTCTGTTTGATTTAGGAATAAAAACATATGGAAAACAATAAAAGAAGAAACAGCCGGGCGGTGGTGGCGCACGCCTTTAATCCCAGCACCTGGGAGGCAGAGGCAGGTGGATCTCTGTGAGTTCGAGGCCAGCCTGGGCTACAGAGTGAGATCCAGGAAAGGCGCAAAGGTACACAGAGAAACCTTGTCTCAAAAAAAACTTAAAAAAAAAACTTTAAAAAATAATAAATGAAGAAACAGCCTAAAGAATTATCATTATGACAAATAAGTATCACAAAGTTCAGCTAAGTGTCACCTAGGGCAGGGGTGGGTGTGAAGAGTAAGGTGTGGGTTTAGGGAGGGCCACATGGACATACCTAAGGGGTCAGTGTGGGTATCAAGATACTTCACACTTGTCATACAATTTATAAGTATTCTCTTGTAAATATTAAATAACAAACAGAAAAATGCACAACTATTGATAAAGACTGGAACAGCATAGAAAAGTCTATTCCTTTGAAATTGTCGCCTCTAACAAAAGAGCTAAAAGATTTTTAACAGCATCTTAACATGTAGAGATTAATAAATGGGCAAAAGAATTCTTGAATACAACTTTTCAAAGGGAAAAAACTCAGAACAAAAAACATAAATGTTTCCATCAGAGCCACAATGTGTTTATCTGCCAGAGCTCTTCAGTGAAAGGGCCAAAGCTGGGCAGGAAGAAACAGGACAGGGCTTAGACATCAACTCTCCCTAGAGCATAGAGCAGGAAGCTCCCAAAGACAGCCACAGTTACATCCTTGGGCCAGCTTGAAGCGCTCCAGCTGATCAGAATCGAGACCACTTTCTTATCAAGAAGAGCATGAACCACAAACTGAAGGATGTTCAAGGATACCCGGTGATTACTCTGGAAAACGACCCATCCGTGCTGGGCTCTCACCCTTCGGTCTGTCTTTCCTATAGGAACTATACCCCAAGGTACTCAAACAGATAAAGAGAGTATGTCCTTCTTTGTAAGAAGATTTAATAAAGGAAGAAGGAATGGTAGAATCAGGATATCACAGCTTTGAAACCCTTGATTGAAGGGATGAGCAACAGGTGCTAAAAATCACTAGGTAAAGATCTGATGAGAAATCTCAAAATGAGCAGATCGGGCTGACAATACCCAAGCCCCAGAACAATCCTGACACCAAATTTGAAATTTGCCCTCCTAGTTTGTAAAGAAAAGAAAGAAAGAAAGAAAGAAAGAAAGAAAGAAAGAAAGAAAGAAAGAAAGAAAGAAAGAAAGAAGTAAATAAAAAGGAATACAGAGGTCACAGGAACACATCAAATCTCCAGGCAGCAATTAGCAAAAATTCCTAAAGAGGGTGACTGATTCTGAATCTGCTGGATACATGGCCTGATGTGTTCAGCAATGAATTACAAGGAATAAACAAGAAAAAGGAAGGGTAGGGAACGGTGGTACACATCTATACTCCCAGCACACGGAAGGTTGGGACAGTGGGGTCACTTGAGGCTAAAGAGGACTTCGTGGACAGTGAAACTCTGTCTCAAAAAAAGAAAAGAATCAAAAGAGAACCTCCAGGGCCAAAGATCATCCTGATAATAATGTGGACCTTGTTTATTTATCACACTGAACAAACCCATGCTTTTTTTTTTTTTAAGGTCCATATTAGACAATCAGGAAACCTAAAAACAGATTTTGGACGTGCGGTGACATTGTTAATATTCTGATCCGCCCCTTGGAATCCTGCCCCTTGGTGCCACCCTGCGTCCTGACCTAAAAGCCTCTTTTTAAGGAAAACTCCGCCCCTTTTTCTCTTCTCTTCCTCTTTCCTCTCAAGACGTGCGCACCCTCGAGCTCCCTCTCTCTTCCTCCCTCTCCTTTCTGTCTTTTCCTATCTTTCTCTTTATCCCTCGTTATAATAAACCATTTCCAAGCAGATGCAGCCTCGGGGTTGTGAATGTCCACCCGCCACTGCCCACACCATGCCCGTATGGCATGCCATCACCTGCCGCCACATCCGCTGCAGCATGTCAGCACGGTCCCTTGCATCGTGAGATACCCTGGCCAGGCCAGCTGGGGGTTTCCCATGAGTGCATAATTCATAACAGACATAATGAATTATTTTTTTAATTTTATTTTAGGCATAATAACGGTACTATGGTTCTCCTTATAGGACTCTTTATATTTTTAAGGATGCATGTGAAAATACACACAGACGCTATGATAAAGAATCCAATGAGCAGAAGAAAAAAGTGGGACGAAGCAGAGAAGCCAGGAGTTCACCCTTGCAGAAATAAGGGGTCTGTAAACTATTCTCCCTTACTTGGGTTCTGCTTTAAAAGCGCCTTCGTAAAAAGCTTTTAACAAGGTCAACCGGCTTATGCGATCAATCTCAGCATGGTGTGTTGGCTACACAGGAGACTCAGCACCGAGATGGAGCCAGGTGGGGGGATCCAGATCTTACCGGTCCACGTTCACCTCGTTCCCTTTGTCTCTGGTGTGGAAGATCATAGTGTATTTACCCACGTCAGGGCTGGGCCGGGAGATTTTCATTTTATGGAGCTCAACCCTAGAAAGACAACGAGGTTGATTTTGAAATCTAGCCCATCTATTTATCGTTAAGTCCTTAAAAGAATCACCTGCGATTCGAGAAAAAAAATCACACACAAAGGAACACACAAAAGTGGCTGGCACAGTGTGAGCCTACTCACATGTGCAAAGATTATCTCGGAGACATAGTCACCGTCCTCTGTAAACAAAGTGCTACCAGATACTTCGCAGTCCTATCTTGTAAGGAAGGAATTAACAAGCAATGCATCCTGTAACCCTATGTGATTTCTAAAAAAAAAAAAGACTTGCAAAAATTTCAGCATCCTATTTTAGAAAAAGATCATTCAAACACTAAAAGGAGCTTTCGAGTGGTAACATACACTTGTGATTCCAGCAGGTTGAGTGAAGCTGCTGATCAGAGGCAGGAGGAGCAGTGAGAAATTGAGGCTACCCTAAGCTACATAGTGAGTTCCAAGCTGACCTGAGGTGCCGATGGGACCCTGTCTCATAAACAAAGAATTAATATTTAACACTTACTAGCGGAGAAACACCAATTTGCCGTTAGTGGTTTTTAAAAAGAGAGAACACCTGATAAAAATACTAATTTTAATACACTCCGAAGAGCAAGACAATCAAGTCTGTCAGGCTCTCTAACTAATAACATTGCCCCTCACAAGAAAAGGAAGGACTGTGTGAAGTTATAACCTTTAAAGCCACAAACCAAGGTTCAGCCTGAGCTCTGCCCCTGACAACTTTGGTCAGTCAACTCCTTCTCCCAGATCTCAGCCTCCTCTAGGAGTGAGGCTGGGGACAAAGAATGCATTTCAAAGGCCCAGGTAACAGGATTCAACGGAACGTGCTTTGCAGCTGGTAACACAGTCTGTAGGAGCACAGACGTGGTGCTCAACATTAGCAAATTGCAGCCCATGTTAGGTTCTGTCCTACCCGGCTTATCCAGTGCATTAATGGAGATCTGTTCTGAAGACCATTGATGTTCCCATAGAGGCAGAAGAGAAAGACAGAAAAGCAGAGGGACGTGAGAAGAATAAGAGCCCCTCACCCTGGGATCTAGTTGCCTTTCCTGCAGACAGAAAGGATACTTCAGCACTGCTGAAAAGGCCAAAATTGCCTGCGGAGATAATGCACGGTTTTCCCACAGACACCTCACACCAGGATGCTAAAAACAAGCGGTGTCTGCCTAGGGACAGAATGTTTATACCCTTGAGTTTTTCCATGTTAGCACTCCTCTCTCATCCCTAAATCTAAATCACCCACCTCCTAAAACCACATTCTAATTTCATTTGCAAAAGAGAATTTTGGGAGACAAATAAGTAAGCCAGCTCATAGATTTTAAACTCTACTTAGACATTAAGTGCTGCTTAATCTTTAAACCTTGTTGTAGGGCTAGAAAGATGGCTCAATGGCTAAGAGCACTTACTGCCCTTCCAGAGAACCTGCCTTTAATCCTCAGCACCCACGTGATGGCTCACAACCGTCTCCAGTCCCAGGTGGATTCTGACACCCTCTGCCGGCCTCCACAGCCAAGGCATGTACATGGTGCACACAAAACACTCATACACATAAAATAAAAAAGATTAAAAATTTTCTTAAGATGTTGTTGTAATTTATACCCTTTAAGCAATCTAACTTAGAAACCCACAGGATTAAGGGAGTGTACCTTTGTGTGCGTGTGCGTGCGCACAAGAGACATGCGTAATTTCCCTGAGAGAAGTCCACACCTATACATGGGTATGTCTTATTCTTTCCCCACCCCACCCCCCAAAAAAAACCTCTATATGAACACCTGAACCTAATCTATATTAAGAATACCTTTAAGTAAATTCCAGTTCTGCTTTCTACTGGCTTGTCCTGAAGTTCTTTTCCGCAGCCAGCTGAGATCTCTAAAAAGCATCCTAGAGGTTGTTGAAGGTGCCAGTCCCACCACCGCCAGACACTTACCAAATGAAATCAAAACAAGAGTTTCCCTCTCCCTTAAAGCTGAAGGACAGCAGGAAGGGAGACAGCAAGGGAATGTCATAGCAACAGTCTACTACTGGTCAGCCCAGCGAGGTGGTACAAGATTGGACTTGGGGAAGAAGGGAGCACCGGCTTCCTCCAACCCTTTCTATCCTACCCTGAACTGAGCAGTCTGTGTGACCATGGATTGTGACTGCTGAGGGGGCTGGGCGACATGGGGTCCTTAGGCAGAAAATCTTCCTCTTCAGAAACACTGCAAAGGCTCTCTGCCCAAAGGGAACAAGACTGAGCGGCATGAGGCCTTCAGTTCCTTCACACCAGCCCAGTGGGAACTTGATAGTCACACATCTATTAATTTAGAGCTGCAGCTTACAACATGCTTTCCAAGCGACAGTGGGAAGAGGAAAAGGTCCCCTGACTGCCAGGAGGCCCTTGTGATTACAACTCTGATATACGGGCCATGAGCTTTTGAATAGTTAGGAATTTCTGGGCTTTGAATAGGTAGAATTGTCCAGGTAATGAGAACATCTTTATCCATCAACACACACACACACACACACACACACACACACACACACACACACACACACACACAAAGAAAAAAGAAAAAGAAAGAAAAGAAAAAAAGAAAGGAAGAAAGGAAGGAAGAAAGAAAGAAAACTTCTGGGGAGGGAAATGAAAGAGGAGGCCAGGCATCCTGGGGAGTTTCTCTTGGTCCTCCAGAGCAGAAAGTTGTCTGAAGGGATCCAGGAATTACACTAGCAGCCCAGAGTGAGTCTTCTAAGTCAGGGAGCTCCCACAGCATGTAGCTAAAGGATACCCTTGCCTTCTTTGGGGCAGGTATCTCTCTCTCTCTGATAGAGGAAACAGCACTCTGCTCCATATGCTGGGAACAGTGTCAGGGCCCTGGGGGGCCTGAAGAAAAACACAAGACTTATCATAGGCCATTCTCAGAGTGGCAGTCTCACAGACAACCTTAAGTTTGGGCCTTCCCATTCACTAGTGTGCCCAAGACCCCCACCAATACTTCTGCACCCCAAACTCAGCAACAGACGACCCTCCTTGGTTTCTAGACTTGACAAAGAACAATTTAGGTCACTCTGCCCTCCCTTCATATCCTGCCACCCTTTGCTGGCCTGTCATTTACAGGAACTACACACAAGCACGAGTTTCCAGAGTCACCACTGATTAGAAGAGCCCCATGAAGGCCCCCTTCTCTGTTGTTCACCTGAGTCTGAGGTCATCGTCTTCGCCTCCCCATCCCCAGTAGTTGTTAGAGAATCCATTCACCTTGAAAAACTGTTCTCTGCTGAGGGCAGTAACACCCCCAAAATATTTATTGTAGCGTAACCTGCAGCAAAAGAGAAGAGAGAAAAGTGGTGACATTTAGCACAAGAACCCTTTGGTCCCACAGACACACTGGCTATCTCTGGTTCTGGGGATGGCATTCCAGGACCACCTGAGGAGGACACACTTCTGCCCATTTTATCCATTTAGTCTTTCCTCGTGTCCACCTCCCTGTCCTCCTGGCACGCAATCTGCTGTTGACGTCACTAAGCAAGGTGACCCCCACATGTCTGTTATTGATAACACTGGTATTCGGAGATCTGTAAAGATACCTAGGAGTGCACTATTGCTCAAATGTCAATGAAAGACTTCATCCCACATACCAATCCGATGAGTATGAAGGGCAGCAGGTGAGGAAGGATTCTGGGTTGGATCCACGTTCAGCATGAATGAGTGTCATGATGAATTTTTTTTTTTAACCTCTTTCTCTTTTGGGAGTGAAGAAGTGTGAATCGGGAGACAGTTCCAGTCCATGCTATGAGTGTGCTCACTCTGCCAATCTCCATCTTAGAGTTAGTTTCCTACAGAATTCAACACACCACCCCACGGCCCTGAACTGCTGGCTTGGGCAATTGGATGGAATACAGTGCCTTTCATGAAAATTGAGTATGGTTTTGAGGGCAAGACAATAAATTATTCTTTGGCTAAATTTGATATGTTCCTGGGCCTTTTGACAACAGACAAAGGACACAGGGTCCAAGCTCACAAGACACCTGTGGCTATGGATAACTCAGCAGTTGTGAGTGCCTGAAGATCCCAGAGTAGCAGGAACCACTGGAAAATAACAGAGTGATCAGGAAGAGCTGAGCATCTGTGGAACTGCTGTGAAGACTGACACGGAAGAGTGAGAGCTAAGAGCCCAGGAAAAGGACTGGGAGACACATCACAAATCCTCCAGGCTCAAAGGACTGTTCTGCATTCTAGCGACACGTCAGCCAGCTGAGATGAGGCTAGCCCTCAATGCAACTCTGACATCCTTTGGAATTGCAGGTGGAGGGACCGCATGGAGGATTTCTAACTTCAATCAACTTCAGTTCAAAATGTCTGGAGCCAACTAAATACCGATGTTTCCCAGACAAGAAGAAAAACCAAAAAGGAAGACTCAATACACTGTAGACATTTCCCACCTAACAAGTGACATCCCAAGACTTCTCTGAGCTTGAGGAGTTTCTACACACTAGTTACAATCTAGTAACCCTAGGTATGCCATCATAGAAACAGAGTTAGCTATGCTAACCAGAATATAATCCCGACAAATATCTGAGGGAAACAATTTTAAAGGAGGAAGTTTTTATTCTGGCTCATAGTTCCAATCCATGGCCAGCTAGCTCCATTGCTTTCAGGCCTGTGGCAAGTGACAGTTTCATGATGGAAAGGTATGGCCAGTGGAGAAGGCTACTCTAAGACAGTCAAGAAAGATGAGGAAAGAGAGCAGGACAAGATATACCCCTAAGAACACACTTCGAGGAACCTACTTCCTCCGAGTAGACCCCACCTCTGAAAACATCCATCATTTCCCATTACTGCCATCAGATTACAAACCTATCACTGACACCACTGATTAGGTCAGAGCCCTCAGGATCTAATTGTCTCTAGAGATGCCTTCATACGCACCTCTGAGGTAAACCCAAATAACTTCTCAGTCTATTCAGGTTGATAACCAAGACTGACCGTCACAGTTACATGCATGCATCTAAAACTCTGGCAAATGACATTTTTCAACCTAAAACCAATAAAAAAGAAATAAAATATGTAGAACATGGCTATTATTGTCGTTTAAGATTACCAGGGTCTAGTTAATAGGGAAGGGACTCTTAACTACCAAAGCAGCAGCTACAACTGGACCTGTGGAGAGAAATATCAGCCCACACAACCTTCCAAAGAGCAGTCTCCATGAGAGACCCAGCATGCACGTGCTGGAGGGGACTGCCAATACCACCACTCCTGATGCCTCAGCAGCTGGCTGAGAGCACAGTGCTATCATGGCTCTTCCTGCCTAGAGCTCAGAACTGAACAACGCCAGGGTTCTTAGAAAGGACTCATTGCCACAGCAAGAGTAGAGCCTGGAAGGACCCAGATCTGTAGAAAAGGGGAGGAGCCGGTGGTGAGAAGTTGGTGAGGACAAGCATAGGCTAAGGAGCACTAAGACCAGAGCACCTGAGACCAGCTCTGCTGCGGGGAGGAGGAGCAGGTGCTCCCGTGGAAAACTACAGAACTGCTCTCACCACGGCTATCCCCCAAACGCCTGTGTTTACCGACTTCTGCTTTTGGTCCCTTTTCTGTTTTAACTGGCCCTCGGGTGAGTTTACACATATATTTTAAAGGGCTGTAAGGTCCCCAGAATGAGGAAAATGTAGTCACACACTAACAATGGAGTCCTTGGAGAACATGGCGGGGAGAGAGGGGGAGGTTCAGAGGAACTCTTGGCAGTAAAATTCATCATGCGGCTGAACTACTTGGGCCAGTCACTTTGACTTCCTCGCACTGAACGCGTGGCAAGTGAAAATATTTCTTGTTGCTTGTTTTGTTTTCACAGACTAGGCTATTTATTCCCTCTTGTACATTAAATCATGGATTCACACGGAACGGGCTCCAGCAGCTCAGGCTCCTTCCCATCAGTCCTCACAAAGTGTGCTTCTCTGAGTGGAGCGGCTGGCTGGCGCTTCAGCTGCATCCAGAAGCCCTTTTCTTTGGCTTCGTTTTTCTTCTGGTAGTTTTCCTTCACCTGCTTCAGGAAGCCATCTTGGCTCTGGGAGAGCCTGATGTGCTCAATCCGCACATTGATTCTCTGGCAAGAATCTTGCCCTTAACTTGCTTCTTTACAATGATACCCGCAGCATGCTGGGTAATGTTGTGGACTCTTCCAGTTTTGCCATGATAGCACTAATGGGGCAATCCTTTTTGAACAGTGCCCACTCCCTTGATGCCTACAACAGTACCCTTCTTGTAGACTCGCTTGTATGTGACCGAAGGAACGAGTCTAAGCTTCCTAAAAGGCCTAGAGAACACAGAGCTGGTGTCCTTCCCCTTTCCCTTCGTGTTTGTCATTTTGGGGGACTTACTGGAAGATGGCTCCCCCATGGCCGAAAGGGGACAGTGAACCCCCTGAGCTGATTGATGCTCCATGACACAGCGATACAGAGCTGCCGGCAGAAGACACTGAGTGCCTACAATCGGACCTGCCAGCCACCAGCAGAATTTTGCTCATGATAGCAATGTTAAGGAGAAAGAAGGCCTACCTCTCCCCAGCCACGAAAACGGAGGCGTCTGCATGATGCGCACAGTAAGACAGGAAAAATGGAAGCCATGCAATATAAAAATCTAAGTCTGAACAGATGAAGATGGGGAGTACAGGCAAGTATAACTCGGTGATGGAGAACTTGCCTATTGCAAGAAGGGCCTTATGTTTAACTCCCATCAATCAGCATGTGTGCACACACGCATGCATACATGCATACACACACACACACACACACACACACACACACACACACACACACGTCATCAAACAAGATTATTTGAGGGTCATCATTTTCCTCAGAGCTTGCATTTAAATCAAAAGGTAAGCATATTCAGTTATGCAAGGGAGACAAAGGCTTGTGGGTGGTGTCTGGGAATAGCAGCAATGTAAGGACAAATTGAACTGCAAGATTCAGGCATGGGCTGTCTCTTAGAGTGCACAGCATCTGATGGAATCCATGATGGTGACACCAAAGTATAAGTCAACAGCAGTTCCCAGCAGGAATAAGCAATTATCTCCGCCCGCTGATGACCGGTTAACACACTGATGCACTCTAGACTCTCAGTCCAAGATCTGTCCTTAACAATCCCGTGTAACTGCTCAGACAGAATGAGAGGCTTAAAGTTCAGAGTTAAAGAGTCAATCCCAATTGGGCATGTGGACTGTTGACATTTCTGTATAGAAGGAGGGAGCAGAGAGGATCACTGGACCCTCACCTCTGTTCCCAGTTACTCCTCCCAGCCATATGTATGAAATGCCCTAACTACACATGGTCTTGAGGTCTCAAGAGGGTGCTACATGACATGGGCTAGGGAAGGTTAGCCCAATGGACCACCATCTATGTGGGCACAGGGAAACTGCCCCCCATGCTTAGTGCAGACCATCCAGAAAGGCTGCTTTAGGGTCACACATCCTTCTGCACTGCAGCGGCCTCTCACCCATGATCTATATAAATAAGCCTAATAAACACATTGCTCCTCAGGGTGAACTTTGGTGGAATCAAACTTTGGTTCGTCCCAGGGACCTCATAAGCCGGGTGCAGGTGTGGGTTACGCTCCTACCCTGAGAGGAATTCTCAGGAGAGTTACAAAAGAAATCTCTTAGGTAGTCAGTCCAAAAGTGAGAGGCCTGTACTGCAGACGCACCATGGGAGCCAAGACCAAGGAAAGTGTCAAGAGACTTTCACACCCTCTGAGTTCTGGCAGAGTCCCCCACCGTATGTATTTCACCGTTTAGTTTTAGCTGCATCCTGACTTCCTCTCCCGCCCTCCTAACTTAAGCACTTACAGCTGTGTTTGCAGATTAACGCATGTCCACAGGCGCTTCCTGTCCCAGTCTACCAGTACTTACGCTGCCTCTTCAAACTGGCCTCTTGACCCCTAGCCTAGTGTCTATACATGAATGGCAGGGCTTTGAGGAAGGTAACAGGGAAGTGTGTGCTGCACGCACTCAGTTTAATTTCCCTAGAACTTAATCTCAATCCATATTTCCCTTCAGTTGTATTTGACTAGGAGCTGGTATAAAATACAATTAAAAACCATGTGTTCCTCTCCTGGGGACCAAAATGGAGAGGAATGAAGGGATGGTGGCATTTCCCATGGTGGCTCTGAAAGACAGGAATTTGTCCTGAATATCCCGGTTCCCAAACAGACTCTTAAGGTGGACACGTGTACCCCCACCTTTCCCTAGAACTCTGGCAAGCTATCCTCAAAAGAGACAGCATGTCCAAACACTGGCCGGGGGCGAGGGGGGGGGGGGATCATGTTGCCCAGTGGAGGAAATCAGGATGGATGGGCAGTTACTAGAATCCCACTGTGTGTGAAAGCCTGTCAAGTCCCGCCACAGGTGCTGCAGGGTGAAGCCACCAGGATTGGCTATGCTTGAACTACATTGCTCTCCTTTCCCTTTGTCTTTGTGCTTCTTGCCAAGGCTGTGGAGGTCTTCCCCCCCCCCCCCATTTCATCCTTTAATTGCTGTTCTGCACATTAAGGGAAAATGGGCCTCATCTCTTGCTTCTCTACCTCATTCTGGATACGACATTACAGCCTTGATCAGTCTTATCCGCTGCACAGCCAGAGCTGCCTTACCTGTAGCCAGTACTGTTCCTGCCGACCACCAGGTGCTTGGGCTGATCACCGCACGTGTAAAGGTTGAAGTCGTTCTCAGGCACCAGGTCCACATCGTGGAATATAAAGCAGTCCCATTTTTCCTCTTTGAGGGCTTCCAGATAGCCCACATTCAGGAGCTTGGCTCGATTAAACTTTTTACTTCCAGTCTGTCGAGGAGGGAAATCAAAATGAAAAGAGCTCTGGAGATAAGGTTCCCCAATGTTCTCCCCTCCACACCCATTCCGGGGTGGCACATTACCCTTGCGAATTCACAAGACAACGCACACCAGGATCCAGAGAGGAAAAGCAATGATCACAAAAGACCAGTTTGGGCTTTGCGTTTCACACATATTTATATTCTACAATTTTTTAATTTTTTTTGTCTTTGAGACATTCCTCCTTCTGTAGACCAAGCTGGCCCAGAACTCACAGCAATCCTCCTGCTCAGACTCCCAAATGCTGAGATACCAATCAGAAAACATCCTTACTGTTTTAAAAATACTTTTCAGTGTGTGTGTGTGTGTGTGTGTGTGTGTGTGTGTGTGTGTGTGCGCGCGCGCGCGCGTGCGTGTGTGTTCATGTGAGTATATGCCACGAGAGAGTAAGTGCCCTCAAAGACATCAGATCCCCTAGAGCTAGAGTTACAAGCAGATGTGAGCTGCTGGAATTGAGTGCAAGGAACCAAACTGGTCGCCTGCCAGAGCACAAAGTGCTCTTAACTGCTGAATCATCTTCCCACACCCTACCGCACCCCACATACTGAATACTAAGTATGCTTAAAAGTTAACGAGATAGTTCTTAACAACTGAAAAAAGCAGCTGAGATGATAAATTTTATGTGGTGTTTTAGCACACAAAAAAATTAATGTAGCTTAAAAATACAAATAAAAACAAAGCAACACTAATGGGGTACTTAAATTTCCGAGGCTAGAGCTCATGTTAAGTGTTCCAAGCTTGATTTCTAGAGTGTCTTTATTACTCCATATAAAACCGCAAAGCCTCTTGAATGGACTTGTCACATCCATCTGTGTCATCACTGTCCTGTCAGCCCTCCGCTGATCTCCGGCTAACCTTACACACTGGCACTGAACTTCCCAGAGATTAAGTTAAGAGCTTGCCAGCAAAGATCAAGAAATTGTGACCCGTCAACAGAGAAGGTTGTTGCTAATACTTCTACGCTACTTAAAACTTTCTTGGAAACGGCTTCAGAAAAAAAAAAAAAATCTTGTTACAACACTAATGGCAGAGGCTATTCCTCAGTGGCCTTACAGAGGAATCTAACCAAACTCCACCTGCAATACCATCAACACTCCATACGGAGTATGACCCAAGGACTTTTCGGTATTGCTTTGTTCAAGGCAAATCAAATTCTGTGAGAATAAAGTCTGATTTGGCAGTTTATCGTAACAAGAGTACATGCAATTTAGACATTACCACAGCACTTTCCTGGAAGAGTAACAAAGTAGATACGTTTCTGTTCATACAAATGACAGAAGACCTAGCCAGGGGTGATGGCACATGCTTATGATCTCAGGAGCAGAGGCAGGAGGATTGAGGGTTTCATCAGGCTAGCCTGGCCAATCTGTGTGTGGGAGGGGTAGGAGAAGGAGCAGGAAGAGGAGCAGGAGACAAAAGGAGGGCTTGGGAGACTGCCACACACGCCTTACAACCTGGGTTCAATCCCCAGAACTCACATAAAAAGCCAGATGACTCTGTAACCAGGCAAGGCTTCCAGTGGAAGGATTGGGACACCAACCCAGCCACAAAAACCTTCGACCTACAAGCTGTCCTACCTGCACGACGTGCTGGGGTAAAGGTGGCACAGAACTTGTGGGAGTGGCCAACCAATGACCGGTCCAACTAAAGAAAAAAAAAAGCCAAATGGGGTGCAACAGCTGCACCTCCAGCACTCCTGTGAAAGACGGAAGGCAGAAACAGAATGGCCTGGAAGCTCTCAGGTAAGCTAACGTGCCGTATCAACAGCAGACACAGTAAGAGAGACCCTGACTCAACACGGTAGAAGGAGACAAACAACTCAAGCCATCATGCCCCAGCAAGCACAAGCACCCCCCACACAAATAATTTTGGAAAGCAAACTAAAAATAGTACCATACTTTGGTAGCTACCCATCCCGAGTAATAACTCAGACTCAATAAATCACCATTTTTGACCAATGACATTAAAAACAAAATTAATTCTAAAACCATGTAAGTGGGCTGGAGATTTAGCTCAGTTGGTTGAATGCTTACCAGCACCCAGTAGGTACTGAGTTCAACCTCCAGCATCAGCGGAAGTGGGTGTGGGGATGCCTACCTACAATGCCAATATTTGGGAAGCAGAGGCAGGAGGATAAGAAATTGAAGATCATCCCTGGCTGTGTTTCAGGCAAGCCTGGGTGACATATGACCCCATTCAAAGAAGAAACCACAAACAAGAAGCTATTGGAGCTACAGAAGTGGTTCAGTGGTTAAAAACATTTGCTGCTTTGCAGAGGATGTGGGTTTGGTTCCCAACACCCACATGTCGCCTCACAACCGTCTGTAATTCAAGTTCCAGAGAACCCAACATCCTCTTCTGACCTTGGTGGGCACCAGTCATGAACACGATGCACTTACATACATGTAGGCAAACACTCATCTACATAAAATAAAAATAAATCTTAAAAAAGAAAACTCTAAAGTCTTATTTCAAGGCCTAAAAACTGGACACAGATGGACTAGATAAGGCCCTGATTATCAAGTCTTTCAAAGTATATTCTACACAGGAGAACCCAAGAGCTGTCAATTCTACCCAAAATTGGTATTATCAGCGACATCCAATATTAAGTAAGCAGTAAATGACTTTTGCCCCCATTCTTCTTAGTTTATAAATATCTGAAGGGGTATTATTTAAATGGCCCAGCATGATAGTAAAACGATTAGACACAGATGTTTAAATTCATGCTCTATTTCTCTTTTAATAAACTTTAATACCAAATAGAGGCCTCTTTAGTCACCCACCATTGACTGACCTTAAAGCTGAGCTCTTCCAAGGTGGACTACCCTTGGTTACATGCTGTTCCTACTAACTGCTTCTGGAAGCCAAATGAGTGAGTCAGGAAAGTGAAAAATAAACTTAGCCTGTTTGACATGATAAATAGTGGTGGAGTTAAAGGCCGGGGCGATTAGAAAGCCACAGAACTGGTGGGCTGTACCACTTGGCACTCCACGAAATCCCTGAGATCTCTCCTGCACAGCCACACCCAATAACAACAGGCAGAAGACCAACCCAGAAGGAACAGGAGAGGCAGGAGAGCTCAGGGGTGGGTATGGGCTAGTGCTGGTTAATGTGGGAGGGCTTACAAAAACCAGGCTTCCTCCCAGGGTACATTTTAGGATAGTAACATTTCACACAGAGCTTGGTCCGTGACTCCACACTCAGGATCAGAATTTCCTCTGCTCTCTGAAGGAAGAAAACTTTACTTTTGATGATAATCCTTTCACCCAAGACAGACAGACAGACAGACAGACATGATGCTACCTCCGAGGGGTGCAGGCCCGGGGAAAGCCCCACACTCACCTGGTGGATGATATAGATGCCATAGTCCAGCTGCTGCCTCTGCAGGAAGGGGTGCAGGTGTTCCAGCAGGTATATCAGGTGCTTCTCTCTGTTCCGGTGGGGGATGAGGATGGCAACCCGCTGCAGAGCCTTGCATTCCTCAGGGCGATACCGGCCTCCAGACACTTCAGGGTTTTTTGCCTGTACTTCCTCCAAAGTGAGGTCTGGCTTAAAAATGAGCTTGCTCTGGCCTCCTGCAATCAGCACAGGACACATGTCGTAAGAGGGGCTGTGGCACAAAGCCCTGGGGTTTTCGGATGAAGGCTTGGTTGGCCCTCTACCTCTACCTGGTGCACCGTGGGCACCAGAGGAGTCTCATTTAGTCATGAACTGTACATAGAACGGTAAGACAATGCCAGCCTGGTGACAAAGCACATAACTGGTGTTTGAGAGCATGTCCTGTGCCTGGGCAATCAACTCTGGCTCCATGATCCATTTCTGAATGAGGCGTGCCTGCCACCTCACTGCTCACTAGAGATCAGAAAAGACTGAGTCACTCCACCAAAAGAAGGGGGAAATACAAAAGCCAAGAACATTCTGTAGACTCAATTCCTGCACAGGGCCCTTTTCCTACTTCTGCCCTCCACCCCTCATGCTTAGCTTCCTGCAGGCAAGGCGCTAGGAAGGAGCTGAAGCCCACCTTACTCCCTAGCCAGGGTGACAACTACCCATACTCTGCAACTCCTCTCCCATAAAGCCACTAGGGTAGACATTTCCAGCTAACACAGCATCTGCCAGTGAAACTCAAGACTGTCCATGGTAATCAATCCTGGGCAAGGCTTCAAATATCAGACTGCAGTAACGAATCCCCATTTTCTGACCTGAACTCAAAGGCTGTCCTGACTAGTAAGGGAGGAGGCAGAATTCTGCTTAGGGACTAAGATAACCTTCCCAGTACCTTACACTGGCTTTGAGACCCCACATACACGGAACAGGCTTTAAATTCTCAAGCTGTTTACACGCTGTACCTAAGGCCTCTCTCAACAGCCTGAGGCATACTAAGATAGAGAGACTGCAGTTTCTACATCAGGTTAGGAACAGATCTGCAAAGAGCCTCAGGCCACCCAACAACCATTCTCTTAGTGTACACAGGGAGCCACAGATGCCTGTCTGGGAGAGCAGCTGGACTATGCAGTTAGAACAGGGCACCCAGTCCACATACGGCTGTTTATTGTCTCTCCAGAGAAAGAAACACAAACAGATGAGCACCACACTGTGACCAGAACAGCAGGTGTAGCACACAAGGAGCTGAGATTTCCTGGGGCTCCGGCTGGGGCTGGTGCGGGGGCAATCCCTGAGTCCTTCCTAGAAGAGGAAAGCGATCTAAGCTGAGTTTCAGATGATTACATAGGAACCCACTAGACAGACATGGATTGAGGAAAGACATTCCGGGAAAGGGGACCTGCTGTAGAATGTTATTTCAAGGTGTGTTATTTTCGCTTATGCTCTGGAACGTGTGTTTAATGATGCAAAGATATGTTTGGTGAAATAAAATTCATCTGCATTCAGGAGGCTGAGTCAGCAACTAGCTGACAGGAAGAGGTAGGGAGAAGCCAGGTGAGAAAGGGTTTATAAGAAGGGACAAGAAGTACAGGGCTTTTTGGAGCAAGGAGAGGTGGTGAGCTACTTGCTAGTTAGTCTCTCTGAAGAGCAGAATTCCACCTTAACCTTTGAATCTTGAGTTCTTTAGAGGGACAGAGGTTTAGTTAAGTTCCCTTCGTAGCTTTGCAAGAGTTGGAGCATGAAGGAACAGGTTTTCCTCCAGCTGTGGCCCTTGCGGCCTAACCACTGCTGGGAGCGGCAGAGTTGCAGTTGCTGATTCAGACAGCTGTGGCTTAAAAGGCAGCAACCATTTTTTTAAAAAAGGACAGCAGGGACCAATACATGACAGGGCTTAAAGAGCTTTCCGGGAAAGTATGAGCCCTCTGATGCTCTGAAGAATCAATATATGTGAAAATTTTTCTCTTTCTAATATACCATGTCCACTAAAACCAATGCATTGTTCATTGACGCTGAAAGGCAAGAAATCAAAACATCCTGAAGAAATAAGCCTAAAACAACGCTGAAGAACTTAGTCTAATCTCCTGACTCCTTCGGCCAAAGGAGCACTAATAGATAAGACGCAAATGAAAGACTGCCCATGCTTGCATCTGGCTAGGCAGGAAGTGTAGGCGGGACAAGGAGGAGAATAAAGCTGGGAAGTGGAAGGCTGAGTCAGAGAGACACTGCCAGCCGCCATGATGACAAACAGCATGTGAAGATGCCGGTAAGCCACGAGCCACGTGGCAAGGTATAGATTAATGGAAATGGATTAATTTAAGCTGTAAGAACAGTTAGCAAGAAGCCTGCCACGGCCATACAGTTTGTAACCAATATAAGTCTCTGTGTTTACTTGGTCAGGTCTGAGTGGCTGTGGGACTGGCAGGTGAGAGAGATTCGTCCTGACTGTGGGCCAGGCAGGAAAACTCTAGCTACATGCATCTTCCACCATTAATCCAGGAGAGCATGCCCAGGCAGCCCACTGTCTTAGAAAGAAAGTGAGAAGCACGTGGAACAGAACCACAAGTCCAGATCAGATGACCTAATGCAGTATGGATGATAAAATGATGTTCACTCATATGATAGGATTGAACTGTATGTGGACGAGAATAAACCAAGTAGCAGCTGAGCAGAATTTTGAGTCACAGCACATGCTGCCAGTGTCGAGTTCAAAGACCAGTGAATCCTAAAGTCAGGATATGGAAGGAAAAAAGTATGGGCCCTACAAAATCCTTAGGAGACACCATTTCTTAACTGGCATGCTGACTCCAAGGTGTATTCATTTTGTGAAACTTCATTAGGTTGTATTCTCCAGATGTTTGTACTTCTCTGCACATCTGTTAAATCATTTTTTGTAGTACAAAACAAAAACAGCAAATACTTACTGAGGTTTGGAGACACAGAAGGGCAGTCACCAAGCTCTGCTTTTTTCATGGTTACATCGTGGGCCAGAGTTTCTGCCTTCCCCAGAGGTAGCATCTTGTGGAAATTAGCCATGAAGATCTTTGCCTTGGGGATCACTTGAATAGGACCCACAAAGTAGTTGCTGGTGGCCCATCCAACCACAGTCAGGCACAGGGTAAAGAGCAACAATAATCGTAACCTATGGGAGAGGTGGTACGGTGGCTTACAGCCCATGTCTCTTATTTTGTGAGCAGTGCGTATCTCCGCTTCAGCTGGAGTGGAGACGTTTCCAATCAGACTTTTCCAATCTGACTAAGAAGGTAACGACGACGACAACTTAGGAGCGATGATTGCCATTGCCCAGCAGTTCTGGTCCAGAAACCACCGAAAGGCAGTCACAAAGGATGTGTTGTTTTAGATGGAAATCCTGTCCTAAAATGACAGACCCCAGCACATATTAGAAACCAGATCCCAGTCAAGTCGCAGTCTCGGGGAAACGCTAGCCCATGACAGAGTCCAACAGAGGTAGGGTGGGACAAGAAACACCAGGGGACCCAAACAGAGGAGGTCAACAATCTATGAGGAAAAACAAGTAGAGATCAGTGACTTGGGTTCAGACAGAAACCACAGTTCTACCACATATCAGCCATGAGATCTATTCCCAGTCACCTCACTGAGCCTCGATTTGCTTATCTGGAAAGTGGGGGTAAAATAACACCTACCTAGATAACATCTACTTTCCTACAGGGCTGGACGAGCAAATAAAGTACTGACCACCCTCCTGCCACACTCTAACTCGGCCACCAAATAGTCACCGTCATTCTCACTGCTATTAAAGATACTAGTCCAGGCATGGCCAGTGGCAGCCACCTGGACCACCACTTTATCAATGGTGTTTCTCACGGGTGATAAAGTGTCCTGATTTCATACTTCAATATCATGAGGTGGGATACTATAAATTCGCCTCTAAGAGGAGCTATGCTTAGTTATTAACAAAAATGCAGCTTTTCAGGGTACTTAAGGTCTAGCACCAATACCGGTAAATTCACTAGATGGTAAGAATACTTGCTGAGGACCTGTGGGGCACAGCTTACAACACCCCCACATCCTCTCTGCACCAGCAAAGTCACATTACGCCTCCAATTCTAAACATCTTATCAAGGGAAATGCAGCAAGTACTAAAGTCAGACTCGGGATCATTTCCATAGCCAAACCAACGGGGTAGGAGAGCTCTTTTGAGCACAAGGTGTTAAATCACCAGTGACAAGAAAATAAAGGGAAATGCATACATACATAAAGTATGTATGCCAGCCCCCTTGAGGTCCTCATCAGAGCTGGCTGGCACTCTCCCTGATGGGAACTACGGCTCCCTGTGCACACTAAGAGACCTGTCTGCCAGGTGACCTGGGGCTCTTTGCGGGCCTGTTCTTCTTAGGCAGCCTCACAGACTGCAGTCCCTCAGCCTCACCCCTGCTCGACTATTACAAGAAAACACCATGACTTCAGTTCTCCCACTTCTGGAGGCTTTCTGGCAATCTCAGATTGGGGTCCAGTAGGGCTAGCCTCTAGTTAGGGGCCCTCGTACTGTTAAATCCCCAAAGGCTTTTCCTTGTTATTTATGTATACACACACAGAGAGAGGGAGGAAGAGAGAGAGAGAGAAGATTAAAATCCAGATTGCATATCTCTTGTTCTTTTTATACGACTATTAATCCCAACATGAAAGCTGTATCTTCATGGCCTTACCTTAACCTAAATGTCCCAAAGGAGTGGGGTACTTGTGCCCCACCGCTAAGTACCATCACATTGGGAACTAAGACTTCAATACATATGGAAAATGGGAACGGGCAAACAATTCTCTGTAAGAATTTTAGTTTTTAAAATGACATTTACCTATGGGGCTGGGCACAGAGGTTCAAGGACAGCTTGTGGGAACTGTTGTTCACGCATTACATCGTGTGGGCCCCAAGGGTGAAACTGGGGTGTCAGACTCACCAGCAAGCACCCTGACCCACTAAACCAGCCCACAAAGGCCAATTAACCTGCCCAGGACCACATACCTGGTTAAAGAGGGGAAGTGGGTGTAAGCCCCTGTGTTCATCAACCACACCCCTCATGTGGGCAGTTCATTTCTTTCCTTCATGCCTGGATAGGCTCAATGCATGCAACTGAAACATCCAGGTGCCTCTTGTGGCCCTCTCACTCTCCTACATCTTCCTGTCCCTCTCCTTGGGACTAGTTCAAATGCCTTTCTGGAGACCTGCTCTCTTCCTCTCAGTTGGCAGGAAGCCATCAGGATTCTGGGCCAGCTAGACAAACCCTTACGGACTGGTGAACTTCTTTTCGGGAAACTTAAATGTGGGAATTGGTGATCATGTTTTATAAGAGTCTTTTGTAAATATGGCCTTTGAACACTGCTTTTCTAAAAGCTAGTTATGGAAATACTGCCTGGAAATTCTCAATGAATTAAAGGAACCTACGATCACAAAATGAATGCAGTGTAAGGAGCAGAAAAGATTTTTTTAAAAACACACATGTAGCTCTCTCATTTACAGGATGTGGGGAGGCTTGACTTAATTTTAAAACCTGGCCGGGCCAGGTGGTGCTGGCACACGCATTTAATCCCAGCTCTTGGGAGGCAGAGGCAGGAGGATCTCTGTGAGTTTGAGGTCAGCCTAAGTCTCAGAGCAAATTTCAGGACAGCCAGGGCTACACAGAGAAACCCTGACTTGAAAAAAAACAAAATAAGTGAATAAATAAGTAAATAACTACAGGGGGTAAGGGTGAGGTCTGAAAACTTCATACCTTCTGTTCAATTTTTCTGTGAATCTAAAATTGCACTAAATGATTTTTTTAAGATTGTATTCATAATTATGTATATGCCTGTGTATGGGTATATGCGTGTGAGTGCAGGTGCCAACAGAGACCAGAAAAGAGTATCAAGTCCCCTGCAGCTGAAGTTACAGGCAGCTGTGAGCTGCCCAATGTGGGTGCTAGGAACCAAATATGAATCCTCTGGAAGAGAAATAGGTAGTCTTAACCACTGAGCCATCTCACCAGCCTTAAAAATATTTTTTAAGAATTCTACCTGAGAACTAAAGAGCTATGAATAATGACAAACTCATATTTCTGAACTGCAATATATGGAATTTGTTCAAAGACAAGACACTTACGCTCAAAGCAAAGAGTGTGACTAATGCTTAATAATTAGGCCTCCATTCCTAATCCCGCTTGAGACTAAATCTGGCCCAGGTAAAAAAATAATCACTTACCCCTTATAAGCTTAAGTGTCTTCCATAAAACTGATGATACAGAAGAAAGTTCAAGGTTAAAACTTGTTTCTGTGGGGGAAAAGAACAGACGAAGTGGTTAAAACGCCTCTCTGTGCTCAAGAGGGATCTCCCACCCCATTCTCGGCATGTCAGCTAAGTGACCAGAGACTTGGGGACAACCTCTCTCCACAGTTCCCTAGCTTATGTAAAGCTTGGGAGGTTGGAACATACTCACTTCATAATGATGTTGTAAGAATTTAAAGAGAAGGCACACCCAAACACCTGCCATATATTCCCGGAGCTACAAGCATTTGTCATCTATCACTCTAACTCATGTGTTATCAGAATATTAGCCAAAATAATAACCATAACGTTGCTGAAGTACAGATACTTTTAACAATAATGTCCACATTTCTTTAATGAGTATATAATACTTTTATCAGTAAAAACAGGGTGGCTTTTCAAAAGGAAATTATCTCTAGGGCCGGTGACTCCCAGATGGTGCTCGGGAAGGCACCATCGGGCTTATTTGTCCTATTCCTTAAATAACTGTGAGACTCTCCCTCTTCCCAGAGCCATTCTTGTATTTAATCAAGACACTGATATGGGATATGACAGAGCAATCTGCAGAAAGCAAATTCAGACAACATCAAGGAACTATTTTAGGATGACCCTCACCCACCTTTCCCTTCTAGAAATCTGCCTTAGACTTTGTTTTTATTTTCTCTTCCCTCAACACATCAACTGCACTCTGAGCACCTGCCACTTTTAAGCACAGGCTCAGACATCCACGGGCCAGAAAGGGAAGTATTGCCTTTATTTAGTTCAGTCTTTTCCCAGACCTTAAATGTCTGCAACTTGTTTTTCAAATATGCTTGCCCCTCCTCACTCCAAAGAAGAGTAACACATGAAACAAAATTGGTAAAACATTGAGCTAGGTATGTGATATTAACCTAAGGGCCCTTGTCTTTCTATGTCTGTGTTTTTTAAACTTTCCATAATAATAAAAACAACCTAATATGGAAGTTATAACCAATAGCAACGTGGCATAAACATCCGTTCTCGGGAGATCTCTTAGCAATACACCCTCTCGGTGCCTCCACAGCAGATACGGTGGGTACCACACATTTATGCACTAAGTGTTCTCATTGCACCAGACAGAAAGGATGTGGTGGCATTCAGAACACTAACGTCAGCATCTCAATACCTCTGAGGCTACCCACATGTACCACAGACAGGGTGTGTGAGTGGGCACGTAGCCCTGGACACTTGGTTCTGCTGCTTGAGACTCTCTGGGGCAGCACAGAGGAAAAGCTGATGACTGGTACTCCACCAGAGCTCCCAGGAACTGACTACTTCTGAGTAACCATTATCCTGAAGCCTATGGCACCTTTGAGGTAAGAATGGGATAGAAATGATAACAACCATTACCACATAGGAGTCAGCACAATGGCTTCTCAGATAAGGGCACCTGTCACCAAGTTTGCCAAACTGAATTTGATCTCTAGAACTCACATGGTAGAAGGATAGAACTCACTCCCACAAGTTGTCTTCTGACCTCCACACATGTGCAGAGGTGGCTTGCACAAACGCACACACTCACTAAATAAACAAGTATTAAAATTTAAGTCATTTCAACTTCCACACTGGAAACGTTTAATAATATTTTTTAATGTGGCCCTGTATTTTAACACACAGAATACAATGAATTTCCATGAGTATATACTGATATAAGTAATGTAATAAAGAAAGGGATAGGAGACAAAAAGGTAGCTCTCTCTTACAGGAAATTTCCAATTTAGGAGCCAGGAATAAAAAAATCAAATACTACAGCCATCATTGCTTCCAGCCAGTTTCACCAATGGACATTAAAATTAATGGAGGAAATTTGAGGATGAACAGTTTTGTGCTCTGCTTAGCTGCAAAGACTCTCCGTCAAGTGCTAACCACAAGTGGGAATTACACAGAGGAACTAACATAATCTTAAAGAGGCTATCACATCACCAGGTGAGACCTGCCCACCTTGCAAACCTGTTAATATTGTATTGACAAATAAAGACCATCAACAGTATTGAGAAATGAAGTCTAGATAGTATTGATAAGAGGTCTTGTGGCTGTGTAAAGGGGTTACTATATTAGAAGAAGCTAGATGAATGTTCTCTAGCATTTTCAAAACTTTTAAGCAACCTAAAATTAAAGTATTATAAAATGTTAAAAAAAATCATAAAGTCAGAATCTGAGTATAGCTCCAGTTAACTCAATTCTGAAAAAGATTCCAACTCTGTGTATTCCTGATGCCTCAAATCAACCTAACACATAACTTTCTAAGATACACTATATGAATAAGGATATGACATAATTCAAGCCTACTGAAGAAAGGGAGACTATATTTAAGAGAGAGACAGACAGAGAGACAGAGAGGAAGGAGGGAGGGGGAAGAGAGGGGAGGAAGGAGAGAGGGGGAAGAGAAAGAGAGGAAGAAGAGGGGGGAAGAGAGAGAGAAGGAGAGAGGGGGAAGAGAGAGAGAAGGAAAGAGGGGGAAGAGAGAGGAAGAATAGAGGGGGAACAGAGAGGGGGAGAGGAAGAGAGAGAGAATGTGGAAAACAGAGATTAAGGAGGAAGAAAAGGGATTAAACAGATACAAAGTATCATCTTAGAAGTTTAACAATTGAAAAGGCTCACTTTAGCACCCTTCCATTTACCTTTCTAAAGCAGCTCTGGATGACACCCACCACCTCAGCTCATCCCTTCTGTGAACCCAAGTTGTACTGTGGGAGCTGCTCCTAACTTTCTGTCCGATAGTGCACAGTCTTAAGATAATGGGCTTAGAAAAGAACTATTTGGGCTCACAGTGTGACCTGGTTCAGCCCATGGTCGATTGGCCTCGTTGTTTATGGGCTGTGGTGAGGCCACCTATCATGGTAGGCAGCCTGTAGGAAGCACAAGTTCTTACCTTGGAGCCAAAAAGTAAGAGAAAGAGGAAGGGGCAAGGATCCACTACCCCCGTCAAGGGCATGCGTGTGGCTCCCCAAGACCCATTTTATAACCAAAGTTGCCAGGAAACAGTCAGGAAACATGAAGTAAGCCCAACTAGCAAATGACTGAAGTTGTTTTATGTAATATACGTTTGCAGAAGTCACAAGAATTTCCACTGGGAGTTTTCAGTAGAGGCTCACTGAGTCTGTCTTTCTATGCCATTCCCAGCTCTCTGAGAACTCTGCAGCGGGGTCAGTAGACGTTCACCTTCTGGTTGCAGGAGAACACGGGCCACAGAATCAAGTAGGCAGGGCTCACAGAAACTGAAGTGACAAGTATGGACCTGTATGGGTCTGAGCCAGGACCTCTGCATATACCTTACAGTTGTGTAGCTTGGTGTTATCAGGACTCCTTACAATGGGAGTGGGGGAGGGGAATGACACTTTTCTCTGCACTTGGGGCCCTTTCCCTCCTACTGGGTTGCATGTCCAGCTGTGATATGAGGGTTTGTGCCCAGTCTTATTGTAACTTGTTAGGCCATGTTGGGTGGATATCCTCGAGAGGCCTGTTTGGGTTTTTTGTTTTGTTTTGTTTTGTTTTGGGGGTTTTTGTTTTTTAAGAGAAACAGGAGGAGTTGATTTGGGGGAGAAGGGAGATGGGGGAGGAACTGGAAGGGGAGGAAGAGGGGAAATTTTGGTAGGGATGTATTGTATGAAAGAACAAATTAAAAAATAAAAAAAAAAACTCCACCTTCTGCAGTCATTACAGGTCAGGTCTACCCATGGCCCTAAGAGCTGAGAAGCTCTGAGATAATTTGGGGGGAAAAAAAACAGGCCTCTGATATCTCAAAGTGATAGTTCAACTTCTTACCAAGTGTGTGACTGTTTACAGGTGAGTAATCTGGATTCTCTGAGTGTATCTGCCATTTATTTAAAAGCATTTCTCATCTGTGGCTCCAAATGTGCTTTGGCGGCTCTCTCAAGGAGTGTAGAAAGCGGCAGATTTCCAAATTCCACTCCAGAACTGAGAGATCCAAACAGCTACATCTGAGACCCGGACTGAAACTTATACAAGAGGTGACTCGTACACGCAGTGAAGTCTGAGATCCAGTGAAAGAGAATGGGCCCGGGACGAAAGAGAACCCTGAGATACATCAGTTAAGGAAAAACAGTAAGAAGATATGTGAAAATGGGATGCTTAAAATGCATTTTGCTATACATAAAACTCTTGATTCCATCATTGAGTGTATGATCAGAGGAGATAGTGGTATTGATATCAGCATTGCTAAAATAACAAAATCTTGAAATGAACCTAAAAGTTAATAACAGGAACCTGATTTGACTGACAGAGTAAATCCTAGAACATATGCTTTTATTAAAAGGGTGTATAATGACTGGAGTTCAGTCAATAAAGTACTTACCATATAAGAACCTGATGTTGATCCATAGAATCCACCTAAAAGAGCCAGGCATGCTGACACAGGCTTTTAACCCATGACACAAGTGGCTGTCCCCTGGCCTCCTCATGCAAGTGTGCACATAAGTGTGCACATGAGCATGCACACCCCAAAGTGGGTGTTTAAAAGACACTAACTATGGTAGAAGGGCTCACCATAGACAAGTAGGAAAAAAAACCATAAAGATGTCATAAAACACAATCCCAATTCTACAACATATGTGTGTGTGCATGTCTTCTTCTACCTGTACAAAATAGTAGAAATAGTCACTGAGACAAATCTGAGAAAGTTTCTAATTCAGGGTTGGGGGTGGCTCATTACCAGAAACAATGTTGTTGCTTTCTGGTAAAAGTAACTAATTGTCCATTAAAATATTCTAAAATTTTAAAATGCCATTATTATAGCCAATATATTAAATCCCAGGAAGTGACGGCTGGACAGAGAAAGGTATGTAAGGTGTGAGGAAACAGGAACTAAAGCAGTTCAGCTGAGACCCTTTTGGGTGAGGACTCAGAGGCTTTCATCTCCTCTCTCTCCGGTTGGAATGTCCCGCCTAACTTTATTCTGCCTCACCATTGGCCAAACAGCTTTATTTATCAACCAATCAGAGCAACACATATTCACAGCGTACAGAAAGACATCCCACAGCACCTGTCTACACACACACACACACACACACACACACACACACACACACACACACACACAGCTGTCAGTGAACTTCCGCACTAGCCAGAGAACCGTAACCCTGTGTACTCTTCTTAAAGTTCCTATTCCTGGGTCCACACCCAAAGGTTTTGTTCCAATGGTCTGGGGCGGAGCCAAGAAATTTATATTTTAAACAGGAACCTGGATAATTCTGACACACACCATTGTTCACTGATGGTTTAAAAAAAAAAAAAAAAAAAAAAAGACTAGACTAGCCAGGAGTCACCTGTGGTTCATGGCTATAATAGCAGTACTGAGAAGACTGGAGCGGAAGAATCGCCGCCCCACCACCACCACCAACTCCCAGGCCAGTCTGGACTGTAATTGCGAGTTCCAGGCCAGGACTGACTTGCTTCGGATGTCCCCACTGTGGATAAAAGGTCTTTAGGAGAGATTCGGTGGTTGATTCCCAAGGCATTTGGACGAATCTCCAGATAAAGCACACACCATAACTAGCCCAGCTTAGAAAAGGTACTAAATACTTACATCAAGTGGCACATAAGATGTAATAAACCGAGTCGCTGTTAGGGCCCTGCCTACCTACTCTTCCTCAGTCAGTTCAGCATGGTCAGCAATTCTCTTTGAGATTGTTTTTAACCCTCAAAACTGTGGACCTCTCTCCAGTGCGGTCAGGGACACAAACGTTTGTGCTATCTCATGGAGTTTTCAGTGTCCACAGAGCCCAAACCCGTTCTTTAAAACTAACTTGAAGAAGAAGAAGAAGAAGAAGAAGAAGAGGAGGAGGAGGAGGAGGAGGAGGAGGAGGAGGAGGAGGAGGAGGAGGAGGAAGAAAACCAACCAACAAAGCATTGTCTCCTTTCCTGGAGACAGGTTCCATCACTCTCTGGCAGGGTGCTGGAACAGCTTTCCAAAACACTCTATCTTAAATTTCACTTTCTCAACCTGAGATTTAAGTTTCTTACACATACACATACACATACACATACACATACACATACACATACACATACACATACACATACACATACACATACACATACACATACACATACACATACACATACACACAGAGAGAGAGAGAGAGAGAGAGAGAGAGAGAGAGAGAGAGAGAGAGAGAGAGAGAGCGCTAATTGTTTTTAAAATGAGACAGAGGCCTTTTCTCAGCTCTCAAATTACCTTCTTTCTGCTCTTTCATCACCAAAACAGTGGGGAGACCAGTCAGAACCTGAGCAGCTGGCCACACTTTGCAACCACAAGCGCCCTCAGAATCTTAAGTTTACTGCCCCCAAAGGCCTTCGCTAGGTATTTATCACCCACACCCTTCAACACCCGAACCCCAAACCAAGAGTTAATCACCTTTATCTAAGAAAAGCCAGAACATCAAGAGATACGGATCCACAGACCCTAGAGGGATCAGATGCCCGACCCACAGCAGGTGTGTCTCAAGTCCTTCAAATCCCCGGTGACTACCTCCTGCTGAGGACGCTCAGCGCTCGCCCGGCCCTCACCTGTGCAGCTCCACTGAGCTGTCTCCCCAGGTGAAACCTTGTCTAACCCTGACCCACAAGGATGGGCCTTTTCCTGGTGGAGGAGCCTGAGCCAGCACCGGGACGCTGGACGCTGCGGATGCGCCTTGCATCTCCCCATCTGCGCGCAACATCTCCCCGGTCCTGGGCGTTTGGGGCGCCGGCACCCGAACCGGAGCCAGAGCCGGAGCCCGAGCCCGAGGGGGAGCCCCGCCGAGGTGGGCCTCTGCCGGTCCCCCAGCCCCGCCGGCCGCTCGCCAGGCTGGACCGCCGCATCGAGGCCTGACCGCGCCGACTCCGCGCCCGCCCGGCCCTCTCCGATGGACCCACCAGCCCCGCAGCCCGGCGAGCACCGCTCGGAGCGCGCAGCCGCGGATCTCCAGCCCCTAGTACTCACCCCGACGCGGCCACCGTGAGGCCGCCCGGGGAAGGGGAGGTGGTGAGGAGCAGCCCCAAGGATCTCCCTCCTGGACTGCGCCGCCAGGAGGCGGCCCTAGAGGCCCGGCTCCGCCTCGAGCGCAATGCCATCGGGGGCGGGTCGGCCCGCTTCTCCCGGGACTTGGCGCCACCGGCCGGCCGGGCCAGCCCCATCAACGCGCTGCGGGGGCTTGAGAAAAAGAAAGGATGCACAGCTCAGCCTTTGGGGGATCACAAACCTTATTGCCATTAGCGACATCCCCCGGGGCCGTCACCGGAACCTGGAAAAGAGATTGAAACCCCCTGCTTTACACAGCAGGAAAATGACGCTTTGGACTCGCAGGAATGTGCAAGCCTTTCGCTTCTCTGGGCAACGCGGAGTGAAGAGTGGCCGAAGGCCACATCCTAGAATCCAGAGGTCTGCAGTTCCGTGTTTACTTTGCGTGACTTTACCAGGCGACATCGTCGTCTACAAAGTTCACGCTCGAGAACCCTGAAATGGAGGGGGGGGGGGAAGCTCTTCACCCTTCAGAACGTTTTAAGTAAGTTTACAATTTTATGTTGGGCTGAATTCATAACTGATCTGGGCCAAGGGTTGGACCTACATTTAGCAACTCTAAAGTCCCGACAGGTTGCAGCCTTCTCAGCCATGCATTGTACCAAATTGAAGACAGAAAGATGTTTACACTAAAAATTTGATTGGAAAAATAATGGTGGGCTCTGCTTAGGCACACAGGACAGCAGACCACATGCTACCAGCTCTCTCAGAAAAATTATATGAAAACCACCCCCATCCATTTCCCTCTAAAGCAGCGATTCTCGTCTCAACCTTGCGGGTCGCGACCCTTTCACAGGGGTCGCGTATCAAATATCCTGCATATTAGCTATTTACATTACAATCCATAACAGTAGCAAAAATTACAGTTATGAAGTAGCAATGAAATAATTCTATGGCTGGGGGTCACCGCCACATGAGGGACCGCGTTAAAGGGTCACAGCGTTAGGAAGGCTGAGAACCACTGCCCTCAAGGAGCAAACTGTGAAGCAGCCCTGAGGCACTGAGCTTTAAACAGATCTAAGGCCATTCTGATCACGTGTCCTAGTCATCACTGTGACATGGGAGTGACACACACATCCTGGAGCCTGAGCCTCCTGCCTTACTAGAGAGGTCCCGGGACTGCTGTGATCTGGGCAGAAGCAATGGAAACTCCCTGTAGAGGACTGGTCCCAATTTGGTCCCATGGATACAAGTTAACAATTTTTAATGTTTCATTTATTTATGTATTTCATTACTGTGTAGTGCTAAGGACAGGAATCCAAGGCCTGGGCTACCTGAGACAAACTACCACCCAACTACACATTACCATCACCACTCCCAGCCTCTCCTCACAAGCACACCTTGAGTCCAAAATCCTTTTAAAATCATCATACCAGTTAGTTTTATATCAACTTGACATAAACTAGAGTCATCTGGGAAGATGGAACTGCAAGTGAGGAATGGCCTCCATTAGACCAGCCTGTGGGTCTGTGGATTCATTTTCCCGATTACAAGTTCCTGTGGGAAGGCCACCACATAAGTGGTGTAACCCCTGGACAGGTGGTTCTGGGCTATACAAGAAAGTAAAGTGAGCAAGCCAGCAAACAGAGTTCCTTCATGGTCTCTGTCACGGTCTCTGCCTTGGCTTCTCTCAATGATACACTGTAACACATGAGAGTAAATAAAAACCTTTCTTCCCCTGGTTACTTTTGGTCATGGTGTTTGTTTATCACAATGCCAATAAACTAGAACAATCACCAAGCCAAGGGGCCACATGTGAATGACAGCCAAGGTAATACCCCCACAGAACTACCTCCCCACCCAGAGAGATGGTAAAAGAAAAGCTTTTAACTAATTGAATTTAACATGCTTTGAACTGCTAGACATCCATGAATCAGGCTTTTATCACACGGGAGGAGTATAGGGTCCTGGTTAGATTTTAACTTGACAAAAGCTGGAGTCATCTGAGAAGACAGAACTTCAACCGAGAAAATGCCTGTGTCGTTAGCCTGTGTTGCATTCTCTTTATTACTGATTACTGTGGGAGGGCCCAGCTCATGGAAGGGGATGCCAACCCTAGGCAGGTGGCCCTGCATTATACAAGAACACAGGCGGAACAAGCCGTAAACAGTACTCCTCCATGGCTGTGCTTCAGCCTTGCCTTGGGTTCCTGCCTTGACTTCCCTTTATGAAGGATTACAGCTGTAAGCAGAAATAAACCCTTCCCTCCGAAAGCTGCTTTGGGGCAGTGTTTTGTCACAGCAATGGGAAACAGACAGATTGGGACCCAGAGTGGGATTTTTGCTGTGACAGAACGTCGTTTGGGGAGGAGCAGGAAGAATGGGAAGGAAAAGAAAACAAGGGACACTAAGGACTAGAGAAAACAGTTCTGGTCCTTTGCATCGGGCTGGGAATAGTGTTGGTTTCCATTACCAGAGTAGAAAAACTTATCTACAGGACACTGGGCAGAGCACCCAAAGGAGCCTTGCCTGCCTCAGTAGAAAATTAGCCTACCCTGAGCGCTGCTCCAGACCTGCCTAACAAGACCCCAGAGGAGCAAGTTGTAACCAACGAATCAAGAACGTTTGTAGAAATGTAAAAATACCCAACATCCAGCAGGATAAAATTCATAATGCCTGACATCCAAAGTGGTCAGATGCGCAAATCGGCCGGAAACAACCACTATCCAGAACAATCAACTGAAGGTGATCTAGAACTGGGATTGATACTAGAATTAGCAGAGATGGGTGTTAAGACAGCTATACGTATATTCTACACATTCAACAAGTTGAGCTGGTTGTAGTGGCTCGTGTCTGTATTCTCAACAATTGGAGCAGCAAGACGGATGTGAGTTTGAAGCAAGCCTTGGCTTCATAGACTGTCTCATTAAACAACAAAAAGCCATGTGTGGTGTCGCATGCCTGTAAAATTAGAAGTTGGGAACTAGAGACAGGAAGATCTGGAGTTCAAGATAATCCAAAACTACATGGGTGACTACAGAGGTCACCTTGACTGTATAAATCCCTATCTCAAAGTGGGGCAGGGATTTTTTTTTTTTTTTTTTTAGAAAGACTCTATCTGGACTTATAGAAATGAAAGGTAGGCTGTATGACAATAACATGTCAGAGGGGAGAAATGGAAGTACACTCTTATAAGGTTCTTTTTTAAATTTTATTTTATGTGTACGAACGTCTTGTCTGCATGCGTGTATATATGTGCACCACGTGTACTCTCGGTGCCTGCAGAGGTCAGGAGAGGGCATCCGATTTGGAAATAGACTTACAGATAGCTGTGAGCCACCTCGTGAGTCCTGGGAACTGAATCTGAGTCTCCCGCAAGAGCATCAGATGCTTTTATCCATTGAACCATCTTTTCCAACCCCTATTGTAAAGCTCTCATGCTATGTAATATATAGCAAAATTCCTACACTATATGTGTATAATATTTTAAGATAGAAAATGATAGATAATATAAGCTTTTGAGCAGCCACTAAAGGGACAAAATGGCTACCGGTGGTTGGGTCAGGATGGGGGGAGGGGTTTCCAAGTTCTTGGCCTTTTATTGGAAGAGTTGAAATCAAAGCCCACACAGATTTGCAAAAGTAGCAAAGAAACCTTATTAAAAGCAAAATAATAGAACAGATCAGAAGACGCTGCAAGACAGCAGTGAGCACATGAGTGGAGACACTGAAGTGCCCCTCTTATTGTTCGGGGCTTCCTCTTCTGGAGTTCAGTGAAAGGGTGACTTCAGTCACTAAGGGATACAGTGAGAGTGGTTCTCTCCTCTAATTGATAGATGACTCTGTGTAATCGTTTTTCTGTGGTATGTGCCCCTGCCCACAATGCATCTGATTTTAATCATAAGCATGCTCAAGTATGCATAGGTATGAGATGGTAAGTTGGGGATTCTCCCTAGAAGTTCACTTGAGGACACAGTTTTATTTGATTGTGAATGAACTCCAAACCAGTTCGAGCCAGATCTTTCCGTTCTTTGTACCCAGATACATTGGTAATGTATATGAACTGAAACTATCTTTCACGAACAAAGTGCAGAGAATAATGGGGTCCTGCATCATGAATTCACTCCCAAGGCTCGGGACCATACTGAAGAGGGAGCAGAAAGAAGCCTGTAAGAGCCAGAAGTTTGGGAGGACAAGAACCAGACAATATTTTCTGGACATGACAGGACCTCTGCACTCGTGAACTTACAACAGTTGTGGTTATCTACACAAAGCCTGCACAAGATCAAGACAATCAACCTTATAACATGGACTGGCTTGTCCGTGAGCTCCCACCACTAACCAAGGAACTATTAACAGTTGATGGCCTCTAGGGGATGGAGAGACACTTTTACTTAAGGGTGTGGCCCTGTGCACAATTGACCATGCTCCCATGGATAAACCCTGGAGTGTATGTCTGTACAAACTGGAAGTGAGTTGTTTAAGAGAGAGAGGGAGGGGAGGGGGGAGGGAGAGAGAGAGAAGGAGAATGAAAGAGAGAGAGAGAGAGAGAGAGAGAGAGAGAGAGAGAGAGAGAGAAGAAGAAGAAGAAGAAGAAGAAGAAGAAGAAGAAGAAGAAGAAGAAGAAGAAGAGAAGGAGGAAGAGGAGGAGGAGGAAGAAGAGCATGTGGGTGTGGTGGTGCATATCCTTAATCCCAACACTAAGGAGGCAGAGGCAGGTGGATCTGTGAGTTGGAGGCCAGCCTGGTCTATAGAGCGAGTTCCAGGACAGCCAGAGCTATATAGAAAGACCCTGTCAAAAAAAAAAAAAAACCACCTAAATAAATAAATAAAAGAGAAAAGGGGAAGGACATGAAATTGATAGCAAGTGGGAAGGTAGATCTGGGAGGATCTGGGGGAGAAGTAGGTGATGAATATCATCAAAATATATTGTATGGAATTCTCAAAGAATTGACAAAAAAAATTCGTTGCTCAGGGGGAAAAAAATTACCCCACAGATCAGAGAGGAGATGTATGTGTAGCTCCATGCAGGTGGAGGTCCAGGGTTGCTGGGGCCATTATTCAGAGAGCACTGTACATGCATAGCACTTCCCGGTAACGGAGCTGGGCTATCGATTGCATTATTAGAAGCAAAGTTCGGGAAGTGCATAACCCAACCTAAATAGAGTCCCAGGTTACTGAGCTGTTTTTTGTGCTTGCCTCAAAAATAAATTCTATCTGATACAGCAATAAAGGAGATAAAGCAAAATTGTGAAGTTTTCTATGGGCCTGGAGAGCTAGCTCGTGACTAAGGGTGCTTGCTGCACAGCTTTGAGGACCTAAACTCAGATCTCAGTTCACGTGTAACCAGCCAAGTGTGGTCTCTCACTTGCCTTTAAACCTAGCACTATGGAGGCAGCGTCAAAAGGATCACTGGGGCTTGCTGGTGGCCAGTCTAGCTGAAAAACATGAGCTACAGGTTCAGGGAGAGACCCTGCCTCAAAGGAACAAGGCAAAGAGCAATAGAAGGGAATTCTTTATGCTCTCCTCTGGCCTCAGTGTACATGTGTGTGTGCAGGAACTATACCTCTGCCCCACACTCCACTCTCACAAATTCTATTAGTTCAAAAAAATGGACAAATAATCTTCCTTCAGGGAGGAACCTCTTAACTGGTTATCCGATTCCAAGTGGTCAGGCCTGAAATCATATACATGCGGCACTGAAGGACTCAGTAGATTATATCTATATTATTTACATGTTTATGTATATATATATATAATGATACCAGTTAGGGAGAGGAGATACCAGGAGTTTGAAAGGGAACAAAGGAGCAGGGCATGGGAGGAGTTGGAGGAAGGGAAAGGAATAGAGGGAAAAAATAATTATATTTTAATCTTTAAGAAGCTAGTAAAATAGAATTATAAAGGTGTTCAGAAAAAGTGGAGCAAATGACAGATGGGACAAACAGAAAAACAAACAGAAGGTGATCTACTTGAACAACATTACTAATTATATTTTAGAACACCAGTTAGAAGACAAAGTCTTCGATCCAATAAAAAAAAAAAAAGGTAGGACTTTGGAACTGGAGAGAAGGCTCAATAGTTAAGAGCACACACTGCTCTTACAGAGCACCGGATTTCAACTCCCAGCACCCACCTCAGGCAGCCCACAACCTCATGTAACTCCAGCTCCAGAGGAACTGACACCCTCTTCTGTGGGCCCTGTGTTCACAAGTACATACCCCCACAGTGACACACATAAACATTTCACTTAAAATAAAACTTTTTTTTTAAAGCAAGAATCTACTAGACACTGCCTGCAAAGCACACTTTAAATGTAGCTATTGAGTTGGTATAGCAACCAATTAAATGTTTTTAAAAATGGGAAAAGATAAACCACTAATATAAATCACAAGAAATACAAAGGACCAGCAAGATGCCTCAGCATACAAAGGTGCTTGCCATCAAGCCTGAAAATCTGAGGTCAATTCCTGGAATCCAGAACTGATTTCTGCAAGTTGCTCTCTGGCTTCTACATACATTCTATGCCCCGCCTCCAACACACCACCACCACCTCCCACATACAAATAAATAAAGTGTAATTAAAAGTTTTTAAGATGAAACAGAGACTATAGTTCAATAGTAGAGTATGTGCTTAGCATGCACACGTCCCTGGGTTCAATCACCAGAGCAGAGGATAGGGAGGTGAAGG